AATTCAGATCTTAGCCTGAAGTGTGTTTCTTGGGAATTTCCTGTAATGCAAATTGTGTTATTTTTCCTGGACACTTGGGCCATATTTCTATGTGATCATCTGCATCATCCCAATCATTCCTGTTTTCTAGACAACTGAGACAATACCAGCAATCATATAGAAAGCAGCCTAAAGCATAAACTCTGTTCAGTGTAGAAATTTCCCTTTGTCATGTTTTTTCTTCCATTTATTGTGCCTGGTTTCCTGGTGATCACTGCATTACCAACCTGCATTATCATGGAGAAACCAGAGCTTTTTTTGTCAAAAGGTGGAGTGGTGTTGTGAGGATTTCATTATATCATGAGTATACCTAATGCAAATCTTTTGCCATTATTTCATAAATCACAATTTCTTTCAAGTCTATTTATACAAGCAATATAATACTTTCTAGTCTGAACTTGGAAGACCACTGCGGCGTTGCTTTACCCTTCCCCCTGATGGGTTTACTTATGGAAAGCCAAATGAAGGAAAGGACAGCGGTGCTGCTGATGGTAAGTACATTTACACTCCACTACTGAGCTCTAGCTTGTTTACAGCTGTCCCCTACCCTCCAAAGAAAAATTGGGAGGGTAGGGGCGAGGCTGTACAGAGGTCATTAAGCTCAAAATTTACCATAATATTTTACTCTCAAAGGTTACACTTTATAAGTTATATAATCGTTGTTGCATTGTTACACTAATTCAGTGGTTACACTACAAGTGCATTTTTTTTCTCTTTTAGCACTTGTATGGAGATCTGCCCCACTGGCTCCCCTCTATCTTAAGGAGAAAAAAGCTCCAAGAGATTTTATTGGATTAAATAAAGGTGCAGTTCAAGCCGGCCTTACAACAGCTCATGAACATTTTCAGTACCGTGCCACACATGACATGAGGAGGAAAGACTCTGGCAATGAAAAGACATCATTGAAAGTTAAAAGAATCCCACCTACAATGGTCTTTGGTATTCCTACAAAGTATGTTTAACTTATTGAAATAAGGCCATGTCTCAAAATTTAACAAAACATAGTCAGATAATTTTTGGTTATGTTTTAAAATGGGAAAGCGATAAAAGCTTGAGTTTCTTAGATCCCTTTTTTCTGTTATTCGACCACTCACTATAATCCAAAAATGTAAACCTGAAATTATGGAAATGGTTTGTTATGTAGGTTGTTTATAATTATGAAATAGCTCACAAAATGAGTAACCACCTCACATCAGAAGTAGTTTTTCTCATTATTAATAAAATTTGAATTGTCTCTATGTAGGCCTTCCACTCCAGTTTATGATCTTCTGGGACATAAATATCAGGACCGCTGGATAGAAGAAAGACGGAAAGCTGAGGGAGCAGCCAGAGCAAGGCAAGAGCAGAAGGTATTATGCACAAATGAACAGTTTTCTGTGTTTTTGTTTCAAAATTGTACCTAAATTCTTTAAATGTACTTCCAACTCCTATTCTGAGGCATACAGTAAACAGCTCATAAATTTAGGTTCTAAGTATAAACTTAACGTTATGCCATCAAGTTGAACAATTTTTTGTTGTTTTTGTTGTTTTTGTCTCTAGAGACACGTTGATAAAACCATCTATGAGACAAGGACTTCACTGCTTAGAAAATACCAACCCCCTGTGGATCCATCTCCACTATGGCACATGAAGAAGTTTGAAAAGGTAATTGTTTAAGTTTGTAATATATAGTTTACTGTGACACTAGTACATGCACTGCATATGGCCTTTCCTTAATCCTTCTCAGCTTATTATTGCTTCACCAGACTGAAACATTTATTCAAATTTAAAATATTATAATTTTAAGTTACATTTAACATTGATGAGTCTGATTGATATAATGCTCATTTAGGTTAGCATACAGCCAAAGAAAAAACCAAAAAATCTATGAACTGCTAAAATATCTTGAGGCTCCATTGTTTTCTGAAACTGACAGTATTTTAAAGTTTTTCATTATGAGAGTTCATAGATGAAAACTCTTAACAATGAATGATATGGAGACTGAAGCCTAGAAAAAAATCAGTCTATGAGCAAGCCCTCCTAATAATCACTGCTGGACATGCATTTCTCTTCCTAAAGAAAGATTTGAGATGAATCTGAAAGAGGTGTGGCATTTTCAGTGCTACATGTGGACCCCTTTCAGACTTGTTGTCAGCATATATTGCTCAAGGTTTCAGACTTTCCCTCAGGCAAACAGAGTTTTTACCCTTTTCAGAAACAAATTTCAAGGACTTTTCCAGGACTCCAATTGATTTTTCCAGGACTCTAAATTTCACCTTAAAGCCTTTCATTCTCTAGATTTCAAAATCAATTCTCATTACATACATTTTAAATTTATACATTACTAAGAATGTAAATTCTGAAAACTTTACTGCTCAAGATCAGCAGATTTCCAGTACTTTCCAGGACCTCCAGTCTTTTTCTAGGACTTTCCAGTGCAAGAGAAATGTCAAATAAAATTCCAGAACTATTCAGGTTTTTCAGGACCTGTACAAACCCTGGCAAAGGAACACTCATGCTGGAGTGCTAAAAATGAATACCTACTGGAAAGCTTGCAAGGATTATTTAACCCCTAAGAGTGGCTAACATCTAAATTCTCCTTACAACATCACTACTAAATCAAACATTAAGGTCATGAGAATAAAGCAGATCGCCTACTAAAGAAGCTATTGATTGTTGAACAAATTCTCCTCATCAGAACCCTACAAAATGTCTAGAAAGTAGTATGGAGAATATGCATACTAATGTTAGGGAGTACAGGGTTAAGGGACCTTTTACAATAAGTCTGTTAATTTGTCTTGTTATTTTCTCCTGAGTCAATAAACAATTGAAATTGTCTCCACAGATCCCAGCTTATCTCAGCACCTTTAGATCAGATCAAGCTAAAGATTCTGCTTTCAAACACCATGCAACAGACAGCACCTCACGACAGGGAGTTTTTGGTCATGGAATATACGAACCTGCTAAGAGCTAAATACCAAAACAACAATTTTCATCACGTTTAACCTTTAAAAAAAAGAGTGGACAAGACATTTTTAAAAATATTTTAAGTTATGATTCTAAAGATGACTTAACCCAAGAGTGAAAATCAACTTTTTTTTTCTCCATCAAGAATCTCCTAGAAGTTTTTTGAGCATTATTGTTTTATGATCACTCAAAGTTTTGTGCCTGTAAGGACTTGGAAAGAAAAGCAACCTGGAACCAAAGAGCTCTTTTCAGATATGAAATGGTAATAGCACAGACTGAAAAAAGTGCAAATGAATTTTATTTGTACCCTTTGATTCTTAATTTATAATCTCAATAAGTAACAGAGTTACACAAAGTCTGTTGCTGCTCAACATTGTTCACTGAAAAACAATTATTTTTCCTCTTGCAACGGTTGTTTACAAATAAAAACAATTGATGCACATCTTGCCTTTAACAAATGTTTTGTAAATACTATCCACAAGAATAAAAAAATTGAGAGAATAAATGTATCAGGCTCTTATGAGTAGACAGCTCTACAAGTCAGTTGCGTAGTTGTAAAAAAAAAATGAAACAAGAGCATGTTTTATCCAGTCGATAAGATTGCAACTGCATGCTTTATATAAGTACCATTACTATCACTGCTAGAATTTTGCTTTCTTACAAGATGGTTCTTGTGAAGTCTCTCCCTTGTCTAATGCTTTCTCCTGTTTCAAAGGTGATTTTTTGAAGTATGAAAATAAAGTTCCTTTAATAGGCTTTTCTTGTTTTTGTGTCCTTAAAAAGAAAAAAGAAATACCTTAAATTTTTACAACAGCAACAACAAACATTTCATCAAAAGCCAGTTACCAGCAGTCTATTGCTACCAGTTTAGCTTACATGCAGGCTCCCATGTTGGGGTTTTGCCTCACCACTCTTTTTCTGGGCACAGTCACCTGCATTACACCATCAACAGCTGCTTATGAAAAAAGTTATTGAACACCCTGCTGCAATCTTGCTCAATTGCAGTAGGGACACTTTTGTTATTACTCCCAAAAGCTTGAGTGAAATGTGAACTTTATCTATTGTAAAAATAACTCACATAACAAGATTCCAGCCTCTCCTACTTCCCCTCCCCAAATAAATAAAACAAGTACTGCTTTTCTTAATGTTTCTAGGATTCTTCCCAACACTGGAGAGGGAGAGAAGTACTGTTGACTACAAAGTCACTTGCTCAGACAAAGGGCTAATGCTCAAAACATCAGCTTTGTTACTCTTAACAGTGGCCAAATTGTGTTATCAACTCAGTTGATAATTATACTAAATTACCCAGTTTTTGGAATGTGTTCATTTTAAAATATTTTGTCCTAAGTGTCCCAGTTTTGTTGAGGATTGAAACAAAAAGAAATAAAAGAAAGTTCTTGGTAAAACTTTTGTAAAAAATATAAATCATTGAATATGTAATGGTGTTACTTACAAGTCAATTGGCTTGATGCAGTCTGGTGATTTATTCCTAGAATTATTCACAACTGTAGAGACTGGATGCCACTCCAAACAATCTTTGGGTTTTACAAGGTTTAGAGCCTACCATAGAACACAAAGTAAATTCTGTTAAAACTAGATAGGGCTTACTGATTTCAAGAGTACATTTAAATTTCTCAATATAATTTTCAATAGTACATAATTATTTGGCACCTGTGAATTACCTTTTGCCATGGAACTTCTCCAAAGTCTAACCAGCGGCCAATCTCTTCTTCGCCTTCTAGAATAGCCTTCAAACAAGAAGAGAAAAATATTAAGTAGGGAGATTATCAGTTGATCCAATACTGAATTCTCCTAACTAAACTCCAAAGAATTGTATGGTTGATAGCAATGAAAATCACTAAATAAAATGAGATCTTGGTGGTGAAAGGGTTAAGATGCACTGATTGTATTATGGACATAGGTCTTGCCTCCATAATATAGCTGTGAAATATATGTGTATTCCAGTAAGGTAGTAAACACATTATTGTAGAATTAAATTCAAAGTAACAACTGTTAAATGGAAATTCCAACTTTAAGAGATTAAGTCATTTAACAAGCTGATATCAAAAATGTACTAGTTAGTGATTCAGAGGGCCTACACCCAACCACAAGACCACTGACTGCCTTTGAAAATCTAAGTAAAACTGATTTTGTAAAAAAGCAAGAATAAAAACTTCTGACTTTCTTTTAGTTGTAAATTAAAACATATTTTCTTTATTGAAAAACTTGGATGAATTTGCTTCATTTTGAGATAAAAGGATATATACTAAACATTACTCACTGGCATTCTGTTGTGCAGCCATCTTAGAGATGGAGATGAATCCACTGTGATGATAGTATAGGAAAAGAGTTCTTCATCTTCATTACCACTTCCCTAGTGACAAAATTAAAAGAATTCTGACTTGCATTTCTACTTTCAATTCCCCCTCTTTAACATTGTTCATATTATCCCAGATAAAGTTTCAGGCTAGTTAACCCCTTAAAGCCTTGGAGAGACCAGCATCAAATTTTTCCTTACATAATTATATAAATACTGCTAAAGCATTCATTGGGATCATGAGAATCACAAAAATGATCGCCAACCTAAGAAGCTCGGATTGTTACACAAATTCTCCTTGAAAGCACCAAAGGAAACGTAAAGAGAAGTATAGAGAATATAGATACTGATGTTAGGGTGTAAAGGGTAAGACAATAATTTTTCCCTCACCATTGCACTGCTGAGAATGTTATAGAACTTTTAATATCTAGCAGTGACTAGAAATTAATTTCTATACAGCCGATGAATCACATACATTTGGTGGCTTCCAACAATCAAACAAGCCTGCCATGGTTAAGAGACGCTTCTCTCCAAACTGTGCGTCTTCTTCTGCTTTGACTGTTATGGATTCCTCTGGTTCCTTTTTAATGTGAAAATCTTTCACATCTGTCTCCTTTTCATTATTGTTTTCTCCTTCAATCTCTGTCATTGTTTTGTTTTGTACTTCTATCTTTGTGTCTTTCTTGAGGTAGATGTAGTATGGCTGTTTCTTTCCTCCCTTCAATGTCTCCCACTCAAAGAATCTGTTGATGAAAAAAATTTTACTTTTAAAGCACTACATATTGGTCTGAATTTATTCTATGAAACACTTTTCCAATTTGAGTCCGAAATTATCAGAACAGTATTATTTATTAGGTAACAAGTAAGCCATAGCTGTGTCTTAACAACAGTCTTATTTCCTGATACTTTCTGATCACATTATATGGTATAGCTCCTGGAAGATAGGGTACATGGGCATAATTGGACATGTCAATCACATCCGTAAGAAATTTGGGGCAGCAGCTAGGTCTGAATAAAATATAGTCAGTAATCTGGTAAACACTTTTTTAACCCTTTCCCCCTAATAGTGATTGGCATCTAATTTCTCCTCACAATATCACCCCTCAATCACACAACAAGGTCACACGAAAGAAGGAAACGATCACAAACTAAAGTAGCTCTTGATTTTTCAATAAATTATCCTCGTCAGGACCTTAGGATATGTATGGAGAACAGTAAGGAGAATATGCATATTGATGTAATGTTGTAAAGGGTTAAAAACAAGAAAAAGAAAGAAAATATAGGGTAACCACTCCACTTTGGTTCAGTTACTTACCCTTCAGCTAAAACAACGCATCTGTTACCCTTCTCTAGAGGAGATTTGAAAGATCTTTTGTCCAACAGAGTATCACTACGAGCATTGCTCATATTGTAGGTGAACTCTTTGGGATCTCCACGGTGCCATGATGGAATTAAACCCCATCTCATGGGTTGAAGAACCCTTTCACAAGGCTCTTCTGATGCTAAACTGTTAAAATGTTGACTTGACAGTAACACTGGACTAAAAAATAAGAAGGCATTCATTCAGTTTATCAATGAGATAGATCTGCAACTACATATAACTGAGGATAACCATTAGCTTAAAATTAAAATTATAGGTGTTGAGTGATCTTGACTTGCATCCTCTCCAGGAGGGAGAAACATTACTTTTGGTTGCTTCATAGTACAGCACCAGGATAGGCAATGGCCAGATAGGCCATGGGGCTGGACTACAGACTTAACTTAAATCAGTTGGTGTTGTATCACAAATCCTATGATCTGATAGGCTAAGCTGCTCAATATCCAATTTATGATAGTGAGTTGAGTGAATTACGGTCAAGTCACCAATGGTTCAACTTGCCAACGCCAAGAAGTAAAATTGAGGAGGAACATCGGCGAGTTAGTCTTCAATCCAGTACAACCTATTAGAAGTTAAACACATAGAAAAGTAAAAGATATTTAGTACAAAAACAATTTTTTTTCTTCATTAAAAGGATGTCAAGACAAATAAAGCAAGGTGAATATTGCCAATGACCAAAAAAGACACAAACAAGTTCTTGGGAAAAATAAAATTAAAAAAAAATAAAAATGGAAATCAAAAGAATTGTTTTTTACTAAAGATCCTGTCTAGAAAGCCAGCTTTTCTGAAAAAAATCTGACCGATTGACATGATGAGTCTTTACAGTGTTGTTGTCACACAATAACTCCTTTGTGTCTGAAGCTTTTATTGTCATTGGCAATGTTTACCTTGCTTTATTCGTTCTGAGATCCTTATAAACTTTGTTGGAAGAAAAAAAATTGTTTTTGTACTAAAGATCTTTTACTTTTCTATATGTTTAATTTATAATAAGTTGTACTGGATTGAGGATCAACTTGCCTACATTTCTACTCAATTTTACACGTCAGCGAGTTGATGTTGGCAAGTTGAACTGTTGGTGACTTGACTAGATACCAGTTGAGTGAGTAGCATATCAGTCAGCAGTTGTAGAGAAAAAAAAAACAAGGAAAACATGAGTCTGTCTCATTGTTCAGTTTTTGACAAATGGTAGATTTAAACTACACTGATTAGATTACTTGAGTAAGTTTACCATCAATCTACATAATGCTGATCTCTTTTGCAAGAACTTTAATTGTTCATTGAAGAAGGAAGCAGATGTCCTGCAGAGTAACCAGGTATGTTTACCAGCCGCCAGTTCTCATACTTAAAGCCCACTGTCTGACTACAAGAGAATTTACTTAACTCTAAAAGTCAGTTTAGCACTGTGCTTAATTTCATTAAAAACTGGTGATAGATGTTTGTATTACGTGCATTTTGTGTGGGTGGAAGGGTGCAATGGCCAAGGTAAAAATGTGTCATGGAATTAGTTAAATGACCTCAAAGGATCGGGAAGATACGTTTTAAGTATAATACAGTACTTCAAAAACACAGATTAACGAAAGCAACAAAGTCGATGGGCTTAGTTATGTTGTATCCTTGAAGCTTCCTTTCTTGTTTCGTCAGAGCTTAACAGAGCTCATTCAACAACAGACATTCCTTGCATTTTTAGAATGTATCTTTTTCCAAACCCATTTAATCATCATAAACAAAAAACAAACTAATTTAGTATGTCATAAAAACTTACGTGAAGGATTGCGGACTAATATTGTGGGAAGGATAGTATTTTCCTCTATTAAAGCTACCATCTCTCCAAGCCGGTTCCTGGATCTGACCATTCTTTCCTTTGAACGTGCATGCCTTCGGGAATTCATCAGGAGCAAGGGTACTGAATGACAAAAGAAAATAGAATCTTTAATCACCTGTTTGTTCGGAAATAACTTCACTTCCACTAATCATCTATTTTTAGTACTGACAAATTTACATACGTACCAGGCCGTTCTTCCACACATTTTGAGCAAATTCACCCCAAAATGTGCCAAATAATGGATTAAATAGTTTCCTACAATTCAAGGGATGAAGGTAACTGCTTCTAAGAGCTAGCCTTTGCTATCCTTTTCATTAAATTTTGGCGCGTTTTATGCCCGTAGGGTCAGCGGTCTACCACGAAATGCTTCCTTAAGCTTTTTTTTTCGATTTCCTTTCGTTATGCTCCAAAAGTGCTCATTAAACCCAATCACTGAAAAGTAAATTGCTCATGGTAGCTCAAAAACACCAGGCTGTTGTTAGATTCTATAGCCAACTTGATCGAGAAATACCGCGAAAATAGCAGAATATTGTGTAAGACGGTCTTGTCACGTGTGAAATTAGCCACCCAAGAGCCTGTTCGAGCTACGGATGAACTTCTTTGGTTGTTATCCGTACTTTGGTATCCGAGACTTTTCAACGATTCTTTTCTACTTTTGAACAATTTTTGTAGAACACATAGCTTTTTAAATAATTTTATATATACGTATCATTGATAAGAGCTCATTACTTGCATTGGTGACCGTTTCTAGGCCGTTGTTCAGTCTCCAAGTGCCTGTTTAGTTGTTTACTTTAAGCTTTTCCGAAAGCTATGGCCGGTCATGGTTGAGTTCCACAACTTTGTTGAAGACTGTTGCAAATCTCCAGGCATTACTTTGCATCCTTCGATAAAGAATGAGTCAGGGAGGAGTCATTATGGTAAGAAAATCATAACAGTAATGAGCATTTGGAGAATTTTCCCATGTATTTCATGTGATGCAAATAGTTGATGCATTATCTTGCAGTACGATGGAGGCCGAGGAAGACGAATTAGTAAGGCAGAAGACTATAACGCCAGTATGAAAAGGTCTGGTTCCGAAACACTTCTTAAAACGGATCTTGAACAGTCCAAAGAGGCAATTAAAGCTGAAATTCGCAAGCAGCTTAAGTTAAAAGAGGGAGCAGAAAATTTAAAAAAGGTTGCCACTGACAGGAAGACTATCGCCCAATGCAATACAATTTTAAAAGATACTACAGCTAAACTTCAAGATTTGCACGACGATCTTCAAGACCTCAACGCTCGAGTCTCTGAAGACATGCCAGGTGAGTAAATAAGTTGTTGGTATAGATAGCAGATACAATATTACTGAATGCATGGCATTCCGTGACAAGTTGGACCTATTAACAAGCTAAATCATTTTGATCCTTCGCGAAATCGTTTCCTTTGCAACGGTAAACTCAAGCATCATTCGTCGCATTGCTTTCGAATTTCAATTATCGTGGGATTTGATTGTAAGCAGCTCAGAAAAAATCGTTTATTTGGTAGTACTTTAGATAGTTACTTCTAATTACTGGTATATTTGTGGCGAGATAAACTCTCGCTGAACAACATATAAGAAGTACGCGCTCGACCAATTACTATATTTTTAGGCCAACATATGTCAGTTGGAATGCAACGTTTTTGTACCTGGTTGTACTTGTTGCTTAAAATTCAGTATAATATGTTCCATTCGAATTTCCACAGCGAAAACATTTCGCTTCAGAGCCAGAAACTTGCTATATTTTGATGAGTTCATTTTCGTCACAAGGAATGGTTGAAATTTTTGAGCAAAGTGTGTACAATGAAATCCCTTGATGCGTGGCGGAAACAAACCTCGATTTTGATAACTCAACGAAAAAGCTTACTTAGCCGTAACTTTGGATTTCAAAACTTAATAGTAACCCTAATCCAACATAATATATTATAATATCATCTCGGGAGTGCGCCGGATGGTGCGTATCACAACGTACACTTAAACATCGTTAAAGTATTTAAATGGTCACCCTGTGGGATTGTTAATTTTTTATGTACATGTCGCCGTAAACCCTTGGAAAAAGTTACCGGTTTTAAGAGCGTTTTTCTTTGATAACCGCTAGACTATGACGCTTGGACTCGTTGTTTTCGCCACCGTCAAGTGGCTTTAAATATTTGGGTCTTTTCGGTTGCGTTTGTGACAACAACCAAGGATTGTTTACATTTGATCGAAGGAAAATCCTTTGTTTGCTTTTTCCTTCTTGCGATGAGCTTTTCTTATCGTATTCTTTATCCTACTGTGCAAATCGGGAACTGTCTGGCTGGTTTTTTTTCCTTCAGCTGCATTTGTTTATTGTTCAAATCCTTGATGAATTTTATCTAGAGTGCTTGAAAGAAATTACCTGTTTCCGCAAGGGTTATTACGAGTAAAACAGCCACTTGGTAACAATAGTTGACAGATATCCTGTGATTTTTAGATCAAAGAGCTGGTATTGTGTTTCTCGACATTTTTGATTCAGTTTTAAAATTGCAAGTCTATCTATCTTTGATTGGTTACTTTCTTGGTACAATATTTGTTACTCTCCAAGAGTTTGACATTTTTAGACATAGTGAATGTACTGGCATGAGTTTTAAGTGACAGTCTCTGTCAATTAGATTGGAGATTCTGATTTCCTTGAACATATTTTGAAGTTCTTGCCAGGATTTCCTTCATCTCACTTCTGTGTGATTGAGAAATTAATTCAAGTGATATTTGCAACTCATTGCAACAAAATGTTTGGATTGTCCAACATGATAACCTTAGTTTATGTAAAATACACCAAATTAACAAAAATTACCTGTTTTGTCTGTTGGATAAAATTTCTCTTATCATCTTTTCATGCTCTTATCTGCCATGGCCCATTGACTTAAAAGCCCTAGATTATTAACAAAATAATCCCTCAAGGGAATTTTGATTTTCTATGTTGTTTTCTCCAATTCATTGAAAGAGGATTGTACTTGTACTTGTATACCATTTCAAGTCCAGCAATGATCTTGAAATTAAATAAAATTACTTATATTTTGACCTGTGAATAATATACAAATAAATAAATGATCCATGCTGATGAGCTGCAATTCAAGAATTACAGAAAAGAAGTAAAAAATCTAGGCTTTTGTGATGGAATTATCTTGTCTAGTGGCAATACTTTGTTGATAACAGAAGCCAGTTGTTGTTAAGAGTGATACCAAATTTCCTATCAAGGACTATGAAATTTGTACATTCTTTTTATAAAGTTTTATTGAGTTGGACTTACATATATTTTATTGTTGTACTTGGGAGTGGAAATCTTTGGGCAGGAAGCGTCTTCTTTGAACAGTTTATACATACTCAATTTGTTGATGTATAAATTCTCAAGAGACTTATGCTCCAGAAACTAAATAATTTTTTTCTCCACTATGAGAAATTAGATGCAAAACTACCTTTCACTGTTGTTTTGACAGTTGCTGCTCTGATTATTGCAAAACTGAAACAGTTGCATGCACTGAGAAACTGAACCTGAGCACCAGCTTTACCTATCAGAACAAAAGTAATTATGGGAACCAAAACATAGTAGGAAAATGTGTATTTACATTCTAAACTGGAGAGTTTTCTTCTGGTGATGGATTCACTAGTGGTAAATTTTTTTTTTTGGCAGAAAAAAATATTTTTGGGCATCTGTAGCTGTACCTTTCTCTGACTCTCTAATGTTAGATGGTACACACCCTTTGTTCCAAGATCCAATGCAAGATCAAGTGCAATTCTGTAATGCAAGTTTTAATCACAGTAGCCATGTTTATACCAAAGCTTTCTCTTGCACTCTGAAAGTAGCTAAATCAGAAAAATCAATTTATTGAAGGAAGTTGCCCTCTCATGATATGACTGTTTCTTTGCTATGACTTTTTCTACAGTGGACAATGAAGATGTCCTCTCTCCTGACAAGACAGATGGTGTGTCAAATGAACCAGCTATAAATGGCAAAATTGATTCATTAAAAAAGCAAATTGCTGTGGAGATGAAAGTAAAGCAAGGTGCAGAGAATATGTTAGCAATGTACAATGCTAGTGGATCAAAGAAGAAAGACACCAAACTTATTGCAGAAGCTCAACAAATGCTGGAAGACTCAAGGACAAAGATAGAAATTATTCGAATGGCACTACTACGGGAGCAACAGCAAGGACTGATAGGAAAGGAGGATGGAGTAGTGTCAGGTGGCGCAGGTGGTAAAGAGAATTCTGCACCAGGATTAGGACTCTCTCCTTTGGAATTAAGAATAGAAGATGTTCGTCATCATATTGAAATTGAATCTAGAGTAATTCATGGTGCAAAAAACATGATTAAGTTTTTACAAAAGTCTGGTCGTGATAGGAAAGGTTTAGAGGAGGTAAGTAGTTTTTATTCTAAAGAAAGTAAAAATGTATGATGTTAGTAGGACAAAAGTTGACAAATTTTGTGCCTTGTTTGAAAAGTAGTGCATTCCCAGAGTCATTTCTAAGACTACAGAGTAAAACAGCTTACAACAACTCTCAACTGCAGTAGCATCAAGAAGTCCTATCAATTTTCCTACTGGTTACCATGCAGGATTTGATAAACTTCATCAGTTTCAATTTCAACACAGGGCTTCTATCTCTAAGAATATTAGAAGGAGAGATGTGTCTTGATTTAACTGACTGGAAACTTTCCCTGCCTTTCCCATTTGTTGATTGCAGTCAACCAATATTTGTCTGACAAGTCCTTATATATCAAATACCTTTGATCATAAGACTTCAGTATCTGATAATTAATTCTTACAGTAATGTTAAAAAGACAGTTAACTGTGATGATTATTTAACTTGGGCTTTCTGGAAAAACTTAATTTGCTTCTTTGCTAAGCTTGGAAAGGAGAGTCACACTGTAGAGTTTATTGGCTCAATCTATTGAAAGTTATTCAAGAAATCTTGCAATTGCATTGCAATCCTCAAAGGGGATGATGACCACATGATAACTTCAGATGTAGGTCATATGGTGTGTACTTAGTTGTGAATGTTAAACAAGTTTCACTGGGGACTCTAGGATTTCCTAAAGGGGAGGAAAACCTCATTCATCCTCTTGATCTTTACACCGATTCTTCCTGCTTTCTCAATGTGTCCTCTTCTAGCTGGCGAAGGGGTTAGTTAGAAAAAAGTAAATAACATTTTGCTTTTGTTTGTTTTTTACCTAGGTTGAGAGGAGGTTTCATGAATCAAGTCAAAAACTAGACTTACTTCAGTGTTCACTTGCGAGACTTATGGGAGAACTATCTCCTGAACAGGCAGCTGTAGGTATTTATATAGATAAAGACTATGTAACAACACCTCCATCTTACGCTGACCGCAAGGCTGTTGGCTTGGGAAAGCAACAATACACAGCAATAACTAAACCAGCAGCGCTGACTGGAGAATTATACGTAAGTATGCTAAGCCACAGTTTTATTGAAAGAGTAGAATTCAGTTTGACCATTACTGAGTGTGTGACATGCAAATATGGGTAATGAAAATTAAGGCCCTTGAAGAGGTGTTTATTCCTATGAAATGTGGGGCAAAGGCAAAATTTTGATTTCTGGTAAGTGTTGGATCCATAGTGGGTCAAACATTCTACATGCAGCCTTGAGCCACAGGGAACTTATGGTGTAACAGACTCTGTACTTGGTTTCCTGCTTTGTGGCTTGAAATTTTAATTATGTACTTTAGACCAATGATTAGTGAGTCATATAAGAGTATTACATGGAACTATTTGAAAAGTACATTATTTTGTATTCTATGGAATGCAAGTATTTTTGCTTATTAATTTTGTATTTTGTAGTAACTTCTGAACATTGCATACATATATTACGCACTACTTAGAGGTGTTGGTGAGTGATCATCTTTATATTTTTCTCCTATCTGCTACAAAAGACATTTTCAAAGAGCTACAACTTGACTCTTCTTTCTCCAGGTCCACATAGTTGGCGCTGACAGGCTCCTGGCAGTTGTTCCTAATAGAGATCCTAGGAAAACAATCAGTTTAGCAATGGTGAGCCCAGATGGCAAGCTGGGAGACAGATCAGGTTCTAGCAAGAGAAAGAGTGGCTACAATAAATGGAATGCTGAAGAGAGTTTATCAGGTATTTACAGAAAGCCACATTATCAAATCTGTGGGATCAATGTGATCATGTCATGATTTTTGGAAACTTTTTCACAAGTCTTATGATATTGAATTTTTGTTTTACACTGTCCTGGTTTATGAATTTGCAGCCATCCAAACTCCTCGGACAAGTACTTTGTGTTAAAATTAAAAGACTTCCTGCGTTCACCTTTTGTCATTTTCCTTTTCACCATTCATGGACACAATTCCATTGCCTTGATATAGATGGAGAGAAGCACTTGCATCTCTCAATTAGCCTTTACACCTTTACATCGGTATGCTTATTCTCCATACTGTTCATATACATTTTCTAAGTTGCTAACAAGGAGAATTTGTCTGACAATTAAGAGCATCTTAAAGTGATCATTTCCTTTATTCTCATGACCTTTTACATTTGATTCAGTAGTGATACTGTAAGGAGAAAGTAGAAGCCTGACACTTTAAGGGGTTAAATAATTAATGTAACAGCAATATGCAACAAAATGGCAGGAGCTGAATCAAGCTCCCTCAACTCTTTCACCTCCAACATCTCAGTAGTAATTCTGCTTACAGTCTGTAAGTTTGTATAATTTTAGTCTGTAAGTTTGGGAAATTTGGTCTTGTTCCCTCATGGGAGTTAAAGGGCCAAAGGCAGACAACTTTACTAGTTAGTTGATGAGCAAGATAAACTACTGAACTTCTGAGAAGTGTTGGATGGTTATGAATTGAGCACTAGACAATAAAATGTTCAAAGCATCTGAAACTGAAAGTCAAATGAGATATCTCTTCATGTATTACTATATATGATGTGATATTTCCTTTTTTCTGTTATTGTTAGTTGAAGTGTGTGCAGTCCTCAAATTGGATAATTGCTATGTGGGACAAACATCCTGGAAGACATTGGGAAAAGATTGTTGGAGTCAACAGTTTCACATTGAGTTAGACAAGGTAAAGAAAAAGAGATGATTCACACATTATGCAAATTATAAAAATTGTAGCAATTTTTGTGTCTCAATATTATATATTATAATCACACCAGTAGACATTATTTAGCATTGTTTACTCAACCTGAGGATATAACTTATTTTAGTGTATGATAACTCAAGTGATTGCCAGAGGTACAGCATCTTCTTCCATCTCCTATTTCTTAAGAAATATCATGAAATCTCACTTTGACTGTTTGGAAATAATTGCTTCAGTATTTTAGTAGAGTTATATACAGCTTGATGTAATCAAGCTGAGTAATCATGATAATTACAAGTATCTCAATTTTTGGGGAAAAGATGAGGGCTGGGCTTGGCTGTGGGCAATAACTTCTCAAATATAGGTGATGACTTCTGTAATTGAGTTACAGCTATAATTGGACTCAAAGCACTATTTTTGTTGTACATAAGTACAAAATAAGCTAGAGGGAAATTTCAGGTAAATTGACCTAAATTATTATGACTTTCACCTTTATGGTGTACTTACAAGAGTTTCTTGTTTTCTTTTAGTCAAGAGAGATTGAGGTAGGGGTGTACTGGAGAGATCACAGGTCCCTCTGCGGTGTGGCATTCCTAAGACTTGAAGAGTTTCTTGACAATCAGCGGCATCAAATTCAAGTTCCTCTGGAACCACAAGGTTGCCTATTTGCAGAGGTTTGTTGCTTGTCTTCTTACTTTTTTTATTTTTTCTTATTCTTGCACATGCGTGTATGTTTTTAAGGGATTATAGATTGCAAGGGAATGTGTAAATCTGATAATCTGCAGTCCTCCAGTTTGTCTCACTTACAGTATGAGTAATTCCATGTTAATTGATATACTCAGTATTGTCCATCATTTTGCTTTGGTTTTCATTTTTTCATGGTTAACTAGTGTTTGTACTCAGCAATGAGTTGTTCTGTGTTATGAAAGCTTTTTGACAGGACATCCTTATTACAAAATGAGTGTTTGGAAAAGTACTGCATGTTCCTAGAATATATTGCAATTGTGTGTTATTACTGTTTTAAATGTTTTAAGCAACCAACACACATGTAAATCAATGCAAAAGACAATCTTCACATCTGAAACCTTTGCATTTGGTTCTGTTTTGATCTTCCTTGTTTCTCAATATCCCATTATTTAAAGAACCTGTATAGAGTACTTCTTTGCCAGGTCTCTCAGGGCAGCAGTATCTTTCTTGATGAATTTTTGTTTTTGTACCACTTATTCTGCTCTAGAAAAATGTATTAAGCTCAAAACAGTTTCCCTTTGTTGATTTATACGGTTGGAAAATGAAATTTTTTGCTTCGATTTGCTTTTCACTTCATGATTTCTTTTGAGTGAATTTGGATTTCCATAAGCATACTCTATTTAAGGCTTCACCACATTTAGAACCATGATGTTTGAATAATTTAGTTTTTGTATGAATTTTTTATATGTGATATGTTTCAAGTAGAAAGTAATTGTTACCATCTGCTTTCAAGACTGACAAATAAATGATATCAATAATAATTTGGTTTTTGAGCCTTGAAAAGGATGAAATCATTTCAAATGTTGAAATCATTAAAAATGTTGAAATTCAAGTGATGATAGTTGATCATGCTGGCAGATGTTCAGAGTATATAATTTGTTGTTGAAGGAAAATTTTCCAGAGTCTGTATTTTTTTTTTTCTTTAGAGTGTTCATTTCATTACAGTTTTTAAGTTGTGTTTTCAAAAAACTAGACCTATGTAATGTAATTTTTCTTTGCTATGATTTACTCACATAGAGTTCATGTACACACCACATGCAGCATTTTTCTTGGTTTTTTCAACATCATTTGCATTTTCATCACTTTTTTCAGTGACTTATTTCCTTTGACAAATTGAAAATTTCTGTTTGTTTTATATATGTCGTTAATGGGAAAAAAGTCTTGATTTGTGGGTTGGTGAAGAAACAAGTTCAATTCAGTACTTTTTTGAAAATTTGTTCCTTTTTGTAACATCTAGGCTGTTCCACTTGATCTCCTGCCAGTATGTTTGTATCTGTGCCCAGTCTTCCTAATTATCATGCTCCAGTGGTTTTCTTTGTGTTTCCCAGCACATGTTCACTGTTTGAATTTTGGTGACAATCTTTGTAGTTTATGTGATCTATCAATGTGGACCTATGGGGCATGAAATTGTCATCTATTTTAAATACAGTCTTCCTGTTTCATGAAATGTACTGTGCTGAAAGTCTCCAGCCATTTTTTATATTTGTTCTATTGCAATTTCTGTTTTTCACACCTTTGGTTAAATTCAAAGTGTGTGAACTTCAAGATAAATTTACATAAATTTCGTGATCACTTGACCCAGGGTGAATCAAATAACATAGCTCTGTGGTATAGTGAGAAATAATCCCCCTCAGAAGGGGGATGATTGATTACAATTTTAATAAATCCTTTACTGCCAGATTTCAATATCACACATAAACATGGAAAATAGTATTCTATTTAAAGAAAAATATTTTTTTGTCTTTTTTGTAGTTTGCCTCTGGTCCTAGAAATGTTTGTATATTCCTACTTTTGAAAACCCTTTTTTTAAACCCTCCTAATAAAACTCCTCAGAAGAGGTGCCTATTATAAACACTTTCAGTAATCTGTGAATATGCAAATTAAATTTACATACTTTTCAGACAAGACAGGTGCTTGTGATTCAATGTTTGTATTGTTTCTGTCATGTGAAGCCAATGAAGCCTTACTCTTTGACAGGTTGTAGCAGGTGAATAGCTGTCATTGGCTGGTAAAATGATGAAAAAACTCCTAAGCAATTAAGAGGCAGCCAACTGAATCTTCCACGAAGTTTTAGAGCTTGATTGGTTTATGAAAGGGACAAAAATTATTGAAAATGCCTCCCCTGCTTCCACAGTGGCTGTGCTTCTCATGCTGATCTTTATTCATGAGCTTTTGGGCTTTTATGGCTTGATTATGGAAGGCCAAGGAGATTTGTTATTGGGTCAGGATATGCCAAGATTTCTGATCTTTGATCACCTAGGATATGCAGGTGGAATTATCTCAAATTTGTCTGATATTTGCAATTGAGAAGAGCTCAAAAACAGATCATATTTCCTCCTTCTTTTTTTGCCTCGGGCATGAAATGAAAGTTGGATTTGAAAGGCTTCCTGTTTGATCTTCATTTGGGCAAATGTACTATTTTACTTAAAATGCATTATTTAGTAATTTGAAAGGTGAGAACAAGTGGCCTGGCTGAAGGCCATGTATGGTGAAAATAATTAAGGCTGATTGAAATTCAGATTAGCTTGACAATGAATTACAGTGAAGATAGATCAGATATTGTGGGGAGAGAACAAAATGGCTTCCTTTATCAGGGAAGGCTTAACATCACAAGCCGCAAGATTGAGAAGATTTACAAGCAGTGGACCAAGGAACTGGCAAAACATGACTTTGAAGGTGTGAAATCAAGGAAGGTTGAAAAACTCCCTGTAAATTCTGAATGGAAATCCTCAAGGAAAGAAAACATCTGTGTGAATAGTAATGAGCATAATATTATGAGCAAGAAAAGCTTTGGACCTGGTGGATTTTCAGTTAAATATTCTGTTGATGACAAAAAGTTGCCTCCTTTTCGTACTGGAAAATATATTCCCAAGGATGATGTTTATTCCTGTGGCAATTGTGTACCCAATGAAAAATCATTGGCTTTGTCTGGGAAATCTAAGGAAAGCTCAACAGAGAAAATTGTGTCTGGTTTGAGTTCACCACCTCCATTTAGAACAGGGAAATACACGCCAAATGATAATTCTATCTATGTGAAGAGCCCAGAAAAATTGGAAACACCATCTAGTTCTCCCTCTCATGGTTCACCAACACACAGAGCAAGAAGGCCATCTTCAGAGAAAATTGTTGGAAAACAAAATGGTTATTTTGCCAGTGGACGAAAATCACCAGGATCACCCAGAAATAGAACTCTAACAAAGTCTCCTGCCACAGAAGGAAAGAGAACTTCATCACTTGAACAGATAAGTCCAACCACTTCAAGTACTGGTTCAGCAAAACTGAGATTAAAAATCTCAATAAGTCAGAGTGCGGAAATAGTCGGCAGAAATGCTTCATCTCGCCCAAAAAGTTCTGCCATGGAGAATTATGTGAATTCAAGGACTAGAACCCGGAGTGAAAATATGCTGTCTATCAAATCTTCTCAGCGCCCTAAGAGTTCAGTTTTAGAAAACAGCACTCATCGATTCAAATCAATTGTACGAGATATTGACATAGGAGCTACTGAAAAATGTAAAGCGACTGTAAAAACTCAGAGCAGACCACGTAGTGCTGTTTTGGATAACTCACTTTCTAGTCGTTTGCCTATGAAGATTGTAACAAGCACAAAAGGTCAAGCTTCTCTTGGAAGAAATCTAGTGTTGGATAGGTCCCCCAGTGGGGAATCCAAGAGATACCTCAGGAAGGGGTCAGATTCTTCAGAGAGAGGGCATCAGCGCTCTAAGACAACAACTTCAATCAGCAGCAGCTGCAGTGAAAGAAGTTACAATGCAGTGAGACTTAGAAAACCAAGGCGCATGCTTCATAGAAATGCTGCCTATGTCAAACCCAGAAAGAATAAAAACTACAAGCCTGTGGAAAGGAAACAAGGCTCTCTTCAAAAGAAACCTCCCAGGTCCCCAAGAAAGGGAAAACTGGAATCAGACAGAGTGGATGGATGTATTGCTGAAAAACCATCTGCTTCACAACAGTCATTCGTGTTTTCTTTATTCATGGACAAGTTTTGCATACGAACAAGAAAACTTAGGGATGGTGGCCTGAAAATCCCTACAATCAAGAGATATCGTGTGATGGTGTGGAAGATAAAAAGGATTTCATACCTGCTCTACGAAAAGGTGCTAATTATTTACTACAATTATTTTCATCTCTTTATCACTTGCTGTAAAATTTTAATTTATACCAAAATTGTTGGGATTTATAATGCTTTGCCATATCTGAAGGAAATTCTTACGCTGATTTCACTTTTAGTTGAACCACATGTGACACCATTGCATTTTGTTAAATAATGTGTTTTATCACAAGAGTATTCTTTTATTCCTTTCCTTCTGCCGGGTTAAATATCTCTTCTTTCTTATCTTCTTTGCATGGTTTCAGTCTGGTTGATTCTTCTTTTGATTTTTGACACAAATCTATACTGTGTCAGCATCTTCTGCATCTCAGCAAGAGAAACACATGAATGCATTTTTCTAAAATGTAGATCTTTTGTTGTTAATCTTGAAACCACAAGGAAAAGAAATTGTTGTCTTTAAAAGCCAGGGGACACAGGGAACATCAGTTAATTTACTTCCCATGATTTAATTTTGCATAGTAACTCACAGTGGTGTAGAATTGATGGCAGAGTGTTTATTGGAGGGAAAAATTGATTGCATTTGTTGTTTCACTGTTATCATGCATGAAGGATAACTGTGTGTCTGCCTTAAATTATTATATTGAAGTTGGCTTTGTGGACATACCATGTACACTTATGTCATCCCATGATTATTCTGAATATTGTTTTTGTGACAAGTGGGTTTGTCAGCATGTATTGCAGTAAATAATTTTTTTTTCTGTCATTATTATTCACACATGAGTTGTTTTGGTTTTTTGAATATATGGGCATCATAAGTAAAGAGCATTTTAAAATACAGCTGTTCTTTGTTCTTAGGTGCTCTCCATTGACTTATTCCATTGTGTTCAAATACAGCTATACATCAGAAACTTCAGCATACTATGTCCTGCATTGAATAATATTTCCTCAAAGCCATTTGTCAAATAGTGAAGCTTGCCAAATTAAGAAACAAAAAGTTGTATCATGGATTTACCAATATTTGAAATAGATAAAGCTGGGTGTGGAATAGTATTTTTGTAATTTTTGTAATTTTTGTTCTTCTGATCAGCATATTTCCTGCCATTATGGAGCAATTTACAGTAGGAATAAATGCGGTTATAACTGACAACTGGTACTTGATAAAGGGAAGCAGGTTGAATTTTTTGATAGGGTCACTTCCACAAAAAAAAAGAAATAAAAAATAGAATATTTGATTTTTTCCAATTGATGATTATTGCCACTGAATTCAAAGCTCTAACAGTGGAGAGAAATTACATTACCTCCTCCCTTGAGTTTATTTGTACTTGTTGTTAAAAGTGCAGGATGTTTTCAGTTTGGCCACCACCTGTTGTTTCTGAGCCGTTAATAATTAATCTTTCAAAGGAAAAACCAAATCTTGTTGTATGAAGCCATCCTAGACCTTGGGTTTTTCTCAAGGATGATCATTCTAAATTGTACTATGTTTGTGTTTCCTTTTAAATGTGTGAATCAGGTTACATTTCTTAACCCAATGGTGACAAAAAAGCCAAGACTTCAGCGGCAGAAGAAGTTGTTTCACATTCAAAAAGGTGAGAACTATTGATAGTTTTTATGTTAATTCATTATCACTGGTGCTAGATATTCCTCCTCTTAAGGTTTTTTATTTCATTGAGAATTTTCAAAGTCAAGGTCATTTAGATAAATTTACCCTCTAATGTCGTAGTATCATAGTGTTCAATGAGTTTTGTTAAAATAAACTTGGTTGTGAATTTTGTTGATGGTTAAACTTGTAACTCTAACATGTGCTTTGTTCAAAATTAAATCATTTGATTTTATGAAAATGACTTTTTGCAGTTACATGTATGTTCCATTTTTACACTGATTTCATATTTTCAAGTTTATTCATCATATCTATTCAGGTGTAGGTTAAAATGTTGTAGTATTTATGAAATGAATTGTGCCAGAGATATAGATGGTTTGTTATAATATTCATGAACAACTGTAAGAGCCATCAATGTGCATCCTAACTTTCTTCCCATTTCAAGACTTTGTTGAGTCTTTATCACTGCGCTTCTAATCCTATTTACAATTAATGATTGCAACAAATTATATCATAAGCTGATTATTTCTCTGTTATAGATCATTATCTCCAAAATGCTTTTGAGAAGTCTTTTGAGTGGATTAAGAAACATTCTAGTGGAAATTTTACACACCTAATAGCCCAATTATCAATCCTAGCAGGCACAAACAAGGATGTTTGCACTAAAATTTCATTAGTACAAGATAAATATAGAATAAAAATATTTTTTCCTTCCTTCATTTTTGTACCTCTAACATGACTTAACTTGTTGTAAAGAGGAGAAAAGAAATAAATTGTTTGAAAATATCCAAAGCAAGATAAAACAGGTTGGAATCATAACATCAAAATTAAACCAGCACAACAGTTTAAAAAAAAAACTGTACATTCCTGTTACTTTCATAGTGCAGCTCTGTTCATCTTGAAAATATAACAATCAAAGATTTGGTTATTTTAACCCCTTTTAGAAGCTTGTTCAGGGCCACCACAAACAAATGTTTCTTTTTTTTCTTTTAAGCCCATTGCTGTAACACTGAGTTGAACCTACATTGTTGATAATTGTGTTGGAAAATATTGGCTCTTTGAATTAGACAATATCAGTAATTAAAAGACAAAGTTATTGATCAACAGGGTTTAACTGTTTAAGCAAGAAAGGAAGTTATATTTCGCTCAGGTGCATTTAGGGCTCTAACTGTATTCTGTGATGGGTTTTTCTTCACAGGGAAAAATTTCCTGCGAGCTGGTCAAATGAACACAAATGTTGCAACATGGGCAAGACTCCTGAAAAGGGCAGCTCCACCAAATTGTTCAACAAACAATTCAACATTGAGCCCAAATTCTACATCATCCTCAAGGCAAGTATACAGGGAACATCAAGGATAAGATATAAGTGAGGCAAATTCATCACTCTGGTTTCACTAAGCTAATGTGGAGACACCAGGGAAGTTTGCTGAATGTTCCCTGAACATCATTTTTTCCCATGGTTGATGAGTGCAAGGATTTGACCATGCTATTGCAATGGCAAAGTTGTAATTAATTTTGCTAAGCTCAGGAGACTCGTAATTCATTTAAGTTCCATCTCTCTGTCAAGTATGCCAATCAGTGATCCAGCAAAGTGTTGACTACGTGACTGATGTTGCCACTGGCTTTCAAGTTGTGTCAGTCGTCAAGTTTCTGAACAAGTAGGCACATCCCTGATAAGAATCTTTTCTGTCCAGATGTGTGCTCTGAATTTTAAAATTAAAATTTTTTTGTTTCTTCCGTAGTGCCCAACAAGGTTCTCAAATGCAAACACCTCCTAGACAACCAGACTTTGACAGTACCACCCCAGCCAAAGGGCAGAAATCAGCAAACAGTGGTGAAAAACAATCAAGCTCAAGCACTAAGAGTGCAGTCAATGAAAATGAAGTCCAGGTATGATTGAAGAATAAACTGGCCCAATTTAAACATGCTTTTCTCATAGCATAAGTCCTTGCAATTCTCTCAACATCAAATGACTGTGTCATAAAACTGTTAATCTAATGCAGCAGCTATGAATTGATTGCTTAACACTTTAACTCCTAAAATCTAATTGTTAATTCTACCCTAGTGGAATGTAGTAATTGTCTAATTCCTCCTTGTAAATCAATTACAGAAAATTTGCTCTTACATCAAGATAGCAACTTCTACCTTTTAAGTTTGAGTATTTTTATTACCTGTTTGCTGGACAATGCATGGATTTTATAGGGAGAAATTACACGTTAATCGTTTCTGGAAGTTAAAGGGTGAATTGAGTACAATTCAATAGCATTAAAGCATCTATGCAGAAAGGCTTGAATGGAAAAATTAAATTGAATCATTCTCTCATGTTGAATCTTCTCTTTCTCCCTTCATGATGTACAGAAAAGGAAAATGAGAAAGGGCCCCTCTGATTTAATTATAATCAGTTACATTAAGTTGTTTTTGGAATTTTTGCTAAATGAGTATGATGTATGATTACCTTTCTATTAAATGGGTATGAATTGTTATTTATTAAATATATTTACCTCTATTGTTTAGCTCTTGCATTCAAAGTAGATGTTATGTATTGTTTCAGGATGCTCTTTCAGCATTTGGATTCCTTGACAGCCCTCAAAGTCCACCAAGACCAAACATACAGACATCCCCACCAAAACCAAGCCCTCCTGTTAGGAGAAAGTTAGTGTTCACTTTTTTTTAAAGCTGCTTACTTCAAAGGATTGATTCGCTCTAAAATTTTAATACCGCATTTCTTCACCTATAAGCCAAGCAATTTTTTCAGAATTTGACACAAAAGTTTTGGATTTTTTTTCAAGAGAAACAGGGTTCAGCTTATAGCTGAGGGTTTGGGGTTCAAAAACAAGCACAATTGCAAATTTAATGTTAATGCGAAATGACCGTAAATTCCATGACTGCTGCACTCTTTCCGTGACATGTTTTAAAATGGTCATGACAACAAAGTTTTCTGACCATCAATTAGACACTTTGCTTTCCATGCATTGAGAGACAATCTCACTCAACTTGGCAAAACTCTGCTCATTTCACATTACAAATGAAATATGGTAGTTGCAGGGAACTTTTGGGAAGTGTCTGCATAGGAGGCATAGTGAATTAGGGGCTATTTCTGATCTGGCAGTCCTATTTTTAAATCCTATGCTGATCACTGGAGAGATTTGTTCTTGAATAGGTCAAATTGAATCTCTCCACCACGATTGAGAGTATATACAGGTCTTGCTCCAGCCATTTTGTTATGTGCTCTTACAAATGTCTTGATCCATTTGGAACTTTTTTCTACGATTTTTGTTGTATAATGCCTTTAAACTAGCAGGAGTAGCTAGGTGCTCTTTGAAAAAAAGAGAAAGAAAATAATTTGAGGTCTTATCATTAACAATTTCTTTGTTTTAGCATCGCAATTCTTACTTTTTTTTTTACTTTTGTTGTGACATGTAGATCTTAAGTAAACACATGCAGATACTTGACTGAGTGAAAGCAATTTAGAATACAACCATCAAAAGATGGTGACACACACAGCTTTTGTACCTTTGGAACTGCTGAGACTTTGATGCTTCTGTTAGCAAGTGATGTTGTGCACTTATGATATACTTTCCTTTCTATAAAAACCTCTCTTTTTTTTTTTCCTTAACACAGACCTCCTTCACCTCCAACTAGTTCAACAAGTCATATGAACATTGACAGCTTTCGCTGCATTAGTGTGTTAGGTAGAGGACATTTTGGAAAGGTAAGTTGCAGTGTTATATGAGCAACCACATTATATTTTACTCATTTCTATCAAGCTACCAAGAAGGGTGATCCCCAGACCATCCAGATGGATTGGCAAGTTATTTTACTTCTTAGGAACAGATCCTTTTGCCCTCTGGAAGAGATTCTGCTGTTCCGAGCCCTGCGCTCTTCAGAAACTTAGCCTAACCTTTGTCCTCTGAAAAAGATTATTGTTATGATACTTTATTAGGTTAAGGCTGCATTACCATAGAAATCATTTTTTGCCTGTGTTGGTTGACCTTTTTCTGCCCTTACATATTTATCATTAATTATCAGAAGCACCTTTGTAATCATTGGGAAGGAGTATTTTTGGAATGAGGGATGCAATTGCAATTCACTTAGTTTTAGTCTAAAGAATTTTTTCCTTTTCTCATGGTACCAGGTTATTTTAGCAGAATACAGGAACACCAATGAATTGTTTGCAATCAAGGCTCTGAAAAAGGGTGATATTATCGCAAGAGAGGAAGTTGAAAGGTAGGCTTTTGGGGCTAACTGAATTTTAAAACAGTTGTTTACTTTATTTAAATTGTAAAGCTTTATTAGAAGTCAAGTTAGAAATGTTTGAAAACTTTTTCAGTATTTTTGAGACAAGGACCTCATCGTTAACCTAAGCTACATATGTTACAGATTAATGTAATGGATTACAGTTGAACTTGTATTAGGCAGCATCACATTAAGCGGTCACCCAGTATTGGACAGTCATATGTCAAAGTCCAGAATTTTTTTTCCTTGATCACTATAATTTTGACCTCTATTAAGTGATCACCTCTATTAAGTTGTCCTGGTCACCCTTAACTAAGTCCCAATTCCCTGTTTTAATTGTCTTCCACCTGTATTGAACTGTAGCTGAAAGTGGAACCACTCAAATTAAAGTAAGAATAATCTTTTGAGTAATTTTTAATCCATTTTTCTCTCCCAAAATCAAAGAGATTCCATACATCAAGTGGTCCATTATGGCATTAAGTGGCATTGTTTATTGTTCTTATATAATACCCAAAGTCTGTGATACCTGTTTAAATTGGTCAACCTGCTTTAAGCAGTCAATCTGTATGAAGCGGTCACCCCACTATTCCCCGTGGGTGACTCTTCTATACAGGTTCAACTATATAGTCTTAATGCTTGTTATATTAAGAGCTTTACACTTACCTGGCTATCTTTTATTTTGCAGTCTATTATCAGAGAAAAGAATTTTCTTGACAGCAAACAAGATGAGGCATCCATTTCTAGTTAACTTATTTGCCTGCTTTCAGACCCATGTAAGTTTGATATGAATATTATTGCAAGTCATTTTGTTTCCCTGTGTGACTTACTTAGCAGTTTGGCTTTTTGCATTTTTGTTCCTCCCTTCCACATTGTGGGTAAGTTATCATCCCACCCCTGGGTTTCTCTGGCATGGTCGTCATAGTAACCTTGTTGCTTACATGATTGAATCCCTTGACTGTCTCCACATTTTGACACCTACCTACCCTCCAATCCCAATGACACAGTCTTCTTCATTTTGCTTATCTTTTAAGTAGTTATTCTATTAAATTTGTTGACAGATTTTTTTTTGTTAAATTTGAATAGGAACATGTGTGTTTTGTAATGGAGTATGCACCTGGAGGTGACCTTATGATGCACATACATGCAGATGTCTTCTCAGAACCAAGGACAGTGTAAGTACTCTTCCACGTAATATGTAAACCTAAACATTGTTTTGTGGTGATATCTGTTGATGTTGTGGGAAAGGCACTGGGCTCCATCTTAAATAAACTGTGTTTGAGCCTGGACAATGGCCATCTTCTTGCACTGCTAAGAAAGGCAATTTTCCTGTCATAGTGAGTTTCTCCCCATTGGGCTTAAATTACAGCATTTGCTGGCTGAGGAAAACCTCGTGTCCTGTTAGAGAAACCTCATGAAATACCAGGATGACCAGCTATTTGCATCCCATCCTGGAAGGGGGGGGGCTTCACTTCTCATTACTGAGTGTTCCAAAATAGGATATGAACGTCAGTAACTACTGTATGCGAGTCGATCTCATGGAAGGCATTGCAGTCTGTCTCTTCAAAGAATATCAAGCTCATTCAGTTTAGTACTGGTAGTCGTTTTCTTGAGCCACTTTGCTCACCTATTACAAAACTATATCATAAGTGTATGATTTTCATTTACCGTAAAAGTGGTTTCCTCGGGGAAAAAGTAATACGGTCCATCTTTTAAAATGAAATGCTGCTGTATTGTTTTCAGGTTTTACACATCATGTGTGGTGTTAGGATTGCAGTATCTCCACGAACACGAAATAGTTTATAGGCAAGTAAATTCGCCTAACATTTTGTTGTCTTTGTTTACTTTGACTGGCAGACGTTGTTACGGTTAAAGGGTTGTATACACGTTTTAATTATTTCTTCGTGAAAGGGTCAAGGTAGTGTTGATTTGTATGAACCATGTAAAAAAACTCGAGTTGTGCGTTTAATTCGTGTTGTATTTCAAAGAAACTGGGTAATGAAAAGTCAAAGTCTTTAGCTAGGGAAGCGTGATAGAATGTCAAGGTGTGGTTGTTATTGTCTTTTCTATTGTTATTTTTATTGTTATTACTATTATTATGTGGTATATAGATAAATTCTTGTACATTAAGCAATTATTCAGCGAGTGCGCGTTGGACATGAGATGATAGATAGCCAAACACTTCCGGTAGATAATTAAACTTTTCCGGTTTAACTCGTCTTTATGCACGCGCATGGTATAATGGATAAGCCAATGAAAACACTTAAATTGCATTATCGAATGATCTCCTTTTTTATTTTTTATTATTATTATTATTATTATTTTTATTATTATTATTATTATTATTATTATCATCATCATCATCATCATCATCATTATTATTATTATTATTATTATAGCACAAAGGTCGATTCTCATAACCATACCATGTGTGATTGGGTTAAGTAATTTTGTAATTATACGCAGTTGTTTCAGTGTGCTTAAGATAAGGCACTTCACATTCTAGGGATTTGAAGCTGGACAATTTATTACTGGATTCTGAGGGTTACGTCAAGATTGCGGATTTTGGTTTATGTAAAGAAGGAATGGGTTTTGGAGCAAGAACAGGCACCTTCTGTGGAACCCCTGAGTTTTTAGCCCCTGAGGTTAGTGCACGATTGAATTAGAGATGTTCTGCTCTCATTTGTTCATTTTTGGGGGGGAGGGGGAGGGGGGGGAACGGACAGGCTTGGTGTTTAACAAATCAGATGTTCTTTCGATTTGTTCGAAAGTCAACACATTGTTACTCACTTTCTACTTTCAGGTTCTTACAGAAACTTCGTACACGCGAGCTGTTGACTGGTGGGGTCTTGGAGTGCTCATATTTGAAATGCTGGTCGGAGAAGTAAGTTACCATTATAAAAACAACATTATCCTTGTGTTACGAGAAAAGGGCGCGATAATTCACCGGCATCTTTTTTTAACTGCGAGTAAAGGGTCAGTAGACACTCTAAATACTAGTATTAATGAGTGTTGACTTCGCGAACAAATTGATAAAGTCAGAGGCAATTTAGGAGGTTTGGAAATGCGTTGAAGGAATTTTCCACCTTGTTTACATAGTATTTCAAAGACTGGTTTGCAGCCAATGAATTTTGGAAATGCTCAATGAAATGGTTCAACTCTTGCGAATAATAGCGGTTTTGTGAGTACGTTGTTTAAAAACTTTACCATTCCTTACTTTTCTAGTCACCGTTTCCAGGAGATGATGAAGAAGAAGTTTTCGACTCTATTGTTAATGATGAAGTTCGATATCCAAGGTTCCTTTCAACAGAAGCCATTGCTATCATGAGAAGGGTGAGTCTTGGGGCTGTTATCAGCAATAAACGTGAAATGTTAATTCTTCTTGCTAGCTAACTTGAATCCTGTTATGTTTAGAGTTTGGTTTAATATCAATGCTATGCTCATCTTGCTTTTTTGATTGTTTAATATATTCTCTAATAGTGTCCTTGTTTTGGTGTTTCTCTTGGCAATTTTTCTGTAAACAGGAAATTGTCTGTGTCTGGATGTACAGTAAGTGGTTATTTTATCCGTAATTAACCATTGGAGAAAGAAATTACGACGAAAGCGCAGATTCTTAGTTGATAATTTTTTTTACTAGTCCATCGTGTGTTTGCGCTTGCAATAGAACAAGTTTTCTTTCATCAGGTTCTTTCAGTTTCACTGATTTGTTTCTTGTTTTCAACCCACTTTAGTTATTGAGGCGCAATCCCGAAAGACGGTTAGGAGCCAGTGAAAAAGATGCAGAGGATGTCAGGAAACAGCCATTCTTTAGGGTAACTGATGATCTTTCCTGTTTATTTGTCTGGTAAACTGGGAGCAAACTTGGTACAAAGTGCAAATGGAAATGCACCTGTGAACATTTCTGGGAAGGTTAAAGGTTAAACTCTGAAGTGATTCCACGTGAGCTTGAAGGCCCGTTATTAAGTTCAGTGTAAATGCTAGATTTTTATCTCATTTTAGTTTCTTTAAATTGGAAAATAATAATATTGAATGATGACTTTCTGTCTCTTGTTGTTAGGATATGAACTGGGATGATCTCCTCGCTCGAAAAGTTCGACCCCCGTTCGTTCCAAGTGTGGTAAGTTTTTGTTTTGTATACTAAACTAGTAAACATTCGCTTTTACAACATACGTCGTGTTTCACACTTCAGTTTGAGTCTTCTACTAGTTCCACCCTCCAAGAAAATGTTTAGACTGTTTCCACTATTTTTCCCTAATCCTTCTTTTCGAATAATGTAGAAATATTAGCTTGACCGAGTCCATATTTGTAGCCTAAAAAGCCTTTGCCGTTACGGGTTTATTTATTCTATCATAATTATTGTCTTTTTTTTACGTTTTGGGAAATATTCCGAGCTGTGTTTGCGTGTTGGAACGATTTATTGGTTCTAAGTGTGGTTTTACCGTCGTTGATAGCCTAGCAAGCCTCGCTACAAAGCCTGAAGCATTTTAAGTAATGCCAGAAAACGTCATGAAAGTTCTGATATTTCTTTGTAGAGACACGCGGAAGATGTGAGTAACTTCGATGAAGAGTTTACCTCAGAAGAACCTGTCTTGACACCTCCAAAGGAAGCCAGACCGTTGAGCAGTGAAGAGCAGGTGAAAATCCTCTAGCTGGTTTTCAACTTGGGTGAAGGCAAAAAATATGCTGCAGAGTCAGGAAATTTCCTTCGGTTCTCTCTTCTCTAAAGTGGTCTCAACGTCTGAATGTTAATTCTTATAACTGGGGACTTAAAGACCTAAAAGATTTCTTTGTTACCCTGTCCTTAGAATTTGATGCTAGAAAAAATTTAAAAAATGCTAAAAAACCCAACCCGTTAGCTGACAATTTATTAACTACTTAATTCCTGCCTCAGACAGCGTATTTAAATGGCCTGGAGAATTTTACATCATTCCTAAGAACTGCAGGAACAAGTCTGATGCCTTTACCTTGGGGAAGTCGACCCGTTCGTGTTTGTTCCATTGTTTTCCTTGTGCAGGACCTCGAGAGTAAACCAGTTTCCCTATAAAAATTTATTTTAATTTTCAAATGTGACAGTAATGGCTTTCTCTTCTTCTACAGGTATTGTTCGCTGATTTCAATTACACGGCCGACTGGTGCTGAGAGCATTCAAAAGCGAGCGATTATTTTATAGAGTAGTTTAGCTAGTGACGGATTTTCATTTTTACAGTCCCCAGGAGCAGCAGCTCAGTTGTAAAGCAGTTTTATGAAAGAGAAAAGTGCAATGATTTTATTTTTATCTTAACGGGCTTGTATTTCCCCTTCATCGTTTTCCTCATCTCCGCCACGCTGAGCAGATGGCGTAAAGTGTAGTTTGGGATGTAAATATATATGTAACATAAACGTTGTCGCCAATCTTAACACTAAATTCTGGCTGGTTTGGCTCTATTTTTGAAGAAACAATTGCGCGCGCTCTGAGAAATAACAGAGAAGTCGCCTTATTATTCTTTGTATCATAACTTGAAATTACTCGAAGAATGTTCACAACTTTCGTGGGATTTTGATACAACATTTCTCCTTTGAATCTGTTGCTAAAGACTTATAGCTTGTCTAGAATGTTTATATTATTATTATTTGTGGCGGGGAGAATACCACCGAATGAAGACAACGACTAACACATTCCATCTCGTGCACGAACCGAAAGTAATAAAATTTAACTTACTCCTTAAGTTTCTCAATACTGTTGATTTTCTGAAATACAAGATGGTCGTTAGTTTTTGTCCTCCTTTGGTGGAAGAGAACTGAAATTAGAAATGATCTTACAATTAAACTTGTACATAATAAGAAAATTCTCTGCCAGGAGATTGTATATCATTTATTTTACAGTATCAATTTGAAATTAAACCTTGACGGATTTGAGTTTAATAGTCGGAATATTTGATTTATATTACCAATAAAGAGTCTACGGTTTGTTTTGACTTTCATTTTAAATCGACGTGAGGGATGCTGCATTCAGTATGTGGCGCGTTTAGATAATAAATTCTTGTGAACCCTTTGAACTGTGTATCTTCGCTGTGTATTGTATTGTGACTGTAAATACCTTCGCTGTAATTGTCGATAGTGGATCAATTTTCAATCGATTGTCGTTAGTATTGTAGGATAGCACTACTGTCTTACTTCTCACTGTTATTGCTGTAGAATACTCGCACCACCCTCACAATGAACCACTCGACTGCATTGCTAAAACCAAAGGCATCTTGGTCATCAAGGCGGCGCGTTTGTTTTTATTGTTAGTTCTCGGGCCCCTTGTGCCGTTTTCCTCGACTGTGCCTGACAGTTGTGATTACACGATACTCAATAAGAGCTACCCCATTCAGGCAATCCGAAATACTGAATCGAAAATAGCTCAATCGGTGACTCGCTCCATTTAGTAATGGTCACAGGACTGAGTGAAGTCCAATTCGGTCTGTTATCAAACGAGTGTTAACAAAGTCAGACGACTGCGCATCCTCTCGCTGGTTTCTAACTCTGGTAAAGACCAAAAAGATGCTGCAGTCTATACTCGAGTGATTCAGGAAATTCTCTTCAGTTATCACTTCACTACAGTAGCGAGATGCTAAGTCTCGACATCTGAATGCTAATTCTCGTAACTGGAGACTTCTAAGTGTTAGAAGATTTCTTTGTTACTCCAGTTGTTAGAAAAAACCCTACTGTCAGCTGACAATTTACCAACTTCTTAACTCGTCTTCGACAATGTATCAAAACTCTCTAGAGAATTTTAAATCATTCCTAAGAGTACAGGAACTACAGGCCCCCTGTGCTATATTCCTTGACTGTGTCTGACAGTTTTGATTACTTGGTTTTGGTTTCACGACAGTCAACGAGAGCCACTCGATTCAGACAATCCGAAATACTGAAAATAGCTCGAGTGGAGACTCTTTCCATCTAGTAATGGTCACAGGACTAGGTAGCCGGAATCTAATTCCATCTGCAGTCATACGACTGATAACAAAGTCGGACGACCGCGCAGTAGGAGTCCGATTTGTTTATCACGAGTAGATTACAGACCAAATTGGACGACATGAAGTCTTCTTACCGATTAATCATAAAAATTACAATTTTTTAAACCAATCTCAATCGAGGAAATTGTGATTTTTTATGATTTATACTGTAGAAAAGGGCTGTT